TTACTAGCCAATATTATATAGCCGTTAGTATAATTAGAAGCTAGGCTTAGGGGGCGGTTTAATTATAGCGATTATAGTAATATAGGTCCTAGGATAAAAGATATCTTTAGAGATAGTAGAAGTCGTAGATTATTAGCTAAAAAGACTATTTCCTCGATAATAGCTAGGATAAGGGCTATTAATAAGTAGTATTCTATCTAGTAGCTATATCCCTTAGAATTTAAGGCTATAGGAGTGCTTATAGCTATTATAGAATACCCTCTAGTTACGACTAGGCCTTATAATCTTTCTTATAGTACTATTAATATATCCGAAGATACTAGATACTCTAACTAATAGATATAGCGACTCCGCTAGGCTCCGGAGATATTGCTTACTAAGCCGCCTCTTACTAAAGAATAAGAATAACTTCTACCTTAGCTTATTTTCTTCGGGCCTAAATATAATACCGTACTAGCGGCCGTACGCTAGGGTAGGTCGTACCTATACTTTCGGAGTCGGTAAGATCTTAGTATCCGCTCCGTAGTATACGTAACTATAGAAAACGTAATTTCCGTATCGCAGCGCGTCGCGGTTGCTAGGTCGACTAGTAGTAGTAGTAGTAGTAGTAGTAGTAGTGCGATTTCCGCTAGTATACTAACTATCGATAGCGAGAGGTCGTACGGTCGCAATTTAATAGATTTCGCACTGTTTTAATAGATTTTAACGACCCCGCTATCTCTACTAATAGATACTAATTATATTACTAAAAATGAAGCCAAAGTTTGTTAGCAAAACAGCGGTATAGCAAAATTCGAGGTATAGTTAGCGATTATAGCTATTTTAATAGCGTTAATATATATTAGAGGGCGGCGGTATATAAGGCATACTATTATAGACTTATATCGCGCTCGGAGGCGCGTATTGCTACCTATTTAACGCCTATAGTATCGGTAGAGGTATATAGAAGCTATTAGTTACCTACGCGACCTACGCGGCCTACGCGGCCTATATAACCTACGCGTACGCGACGGCGGAATTTAAAGGAAAACGCGATAAGAACGCGTAGATACCGCCTAGAACTGCTAACGGCGCTTCTTTACTAAAATTTAGCTAAGCTAGCGCCGCTAGTGTTCGCTTAGGTATATATTCTTACCCTGCCTATTTCTCTAACTATTTCTTCGACCGCTTCGGCTTCTTACTCGTAGTATCTACGCTCTTACCCTTCCGCTTCTTTAGCGGCGGCGCTATATCGTTAGTCGCTCTTAGAAGATAATAGCTCGATATAACGTCGCTTAGCAATAGCGCTTATAATAGCTTCGGCGGCTTTGTTAGTACGAGAATAGCGTCTAGATACGTATTCTTAAAGTAAGTAAGAACGAGGTCGGTAAAGCCCTTCCTAATATTGTCGCCGGACTCGTAAAATACTATTAGCATCTTCGAGATAATAGCCTCGCGCTTCTCGTTAGTCTCGTTAAGACCTTCTTTGTTATATAAGCGCTCGAGTTAAAAGATTAACTCGTACGCGTTATAGAGAGTCTTACGTACGTCGAGTCGATAGGTAGGCGCGTATAGCGCGTTAACTGCGACGTCCTCGCCTTCCGCCGCCGTCGACTTAGCAGCATCTTCTTCGTAGATTTCGAAGGCGCGTCTAGCGAATATATTTACCTATTATTGCTAGTAATAATCTTTAATAATAACGCGTCTAAGTATAATATAGTAGTACTAGAGGTTAGCGCAAAGCATACGATACTAGCGAAAGAATTTGTAGTCGTAGGTAAGTGCGCCTTCTTTACTCGCTAACTGTAATAGCTTAGGGTCGTAGTATACTAATTTGTCGTTTACGAGATTAATCTAAGCGCTAATCTTGCGCTATATAGGCTACGGTAGGCGTAGAAGCTAGGTATAGAGCTCTTCGTCGTCGCTGCGCGCGAGAGAGTATATATTTAAAGCCTATCGTTGCGAAGCAATATCCGACCGAAGGTCCTTAACCTAACCTTTATATAGGTACTATATCGCTACCCCTTTAAGTGTAAAGTCCGCCGCTATTAGCGACTTATTACTATCTATTTTAAGACACGCATAGAAGCTCTTATTTATGTTTATATCCTTATATTAGCCGACGATAGTAGGTACGTTATAGACGCGATAGTAATTTGCCTATAGCCGAATATTACTGCTAAAGTTACGCTCTAAGTACGTCTTATTAGACTCGTAATTGGCGTTCTTTAGAAGGCAATCGATAGCGGCTTATAGCGACTCTTATATGCCTACGAGTAAGCGACGATAAACAATAGCGGCGCGGACGTATCGACGTATTTCTTAGTAGATTTTAGCGCTAAAATGTCTGTCGATAGTGCGCTATACGTATACGTAATAAAGAAGGTATATTGTCGATAGAAATACTATTCGAATAGCGCGTCGCTCTGCCGCCGAGTTGTCTATAAGGAGGAATTTAGGTAGCTATTTGCCGCCTATCTACTCGCTCGCTATACGTAAAAACTCCGCAACAATATCGCCGTTATCTATAGGCGAAAGTATATATACCGCCGTACGCGATATACTATATTTGTCCTTTATTATAATAGTGTAAAGGAACTAGCTAAGGTAGTTAGTCTTATGCGTCGCGTCTATAAAGGCGATCGTAGTATAGTATTTAAGCAATTCTATACTAGTTTTAGACCTAAATACGACGCCGTAGGTAGTTTCGCCGTCGATTTAGCGTACGGCGGTTATATTCTTACAAAACAGCTCTTCTATAATAATATATTAGTTGTTGTTATAGTAGAAAACTAAAATTAAAACAAAGGAATCCCGCAGAACCTAAGATTTAGGGTTTAGGCTTGCTAAGGCATACTAGAAGCCGGACCGAGGTTCTACTATAGGTTCTAAAATTCTTAATTAGCTCGAAGCTAAGGCTCTGCGGCGCTAACCGCGCTTCCGCTTTAACCGAAGAACTTTAAAATTTTCGAAGTTCTTTAAAATTCTAGCTTTTAGGCCTAGTATTCGCTAGTAACCGAGTCTAATATATTTGTCTATCGATTTAATAACTTCCGCGTTATTCTATTAGTCGATCGGAGTCCGGATACGCGGACGCGACGGTCCGCAGGCTTATAACCTAACCTTAGGAATAGTAAGAACATTAACTTACCTTATTAATACTACTCGTATAAGTCTTCCTTTTGCGCCTACTATACTAGCGACGCGCCGCCGAGCCTACCGTCCTTATATACCTTTCGAAACGCTCTACCGGAGTTTAGTACGTCGTACTTTATTATAAAGTCGCCGCTAGCGGCCTTAAAGAGCGCGTTCGCGACTAGGTCGTATACCGCCTTTAATGCCCTCTAGACTAAGCTCGGCGTATATCTATAATATACCTCTCGACCTACGGCGGTTAATAACGCGCTATACTAACGGAAGAGGTCGAAGTTGTCTAATTTATAGTAGTCCGAGTAGTCCTTGCGACTAATACGCTATACTCGATACGCGATAATCTCTTTACTATTACTATAAATGCTTACAACCTTTATTATAACTAGATAGTAACGCGCTACTTCTATCTTCTTATCGTTTCTTCGCCGACTAAAGCCTTACTTCTAGTCTAATTTCTAGTATAGTTGTTTACGGAAGCGGCAAACAAAACGCGTTATTTCTAATCCGTTCTTCTCGACGTAGACTCTATCTTTTACCTATATATTATCGACGTATAGTAGTAACGCGTACTATTATTTAGCCGATACTTCGAACGAGTCGTCGAATTCGTAAAGAATAGCTCGTTCGCGCTATTCGCAGAGGTTGTCGACGTACGGTAAGAAAGCGTATATAGTTTCTAGGTTTACGAGAACCCGAGAAATGCGCTTATAGCGTAGCGCGGAGGACTCTAATAAATCTAACGCGTCTTTATTACTAGAATTGATAGTATCGTCCTTCTCTAACGCGTCTATCGATATATTAGCGATTCTAACCCGCCTACTACCGAGCGAAGCCTATATACCGCCCTCTAGCGCGAAATCGCCCTAGGCCTACGAGGCAAGTATACTATTACTATCTCCGACGAGGTCGCTAATAGTAGGTATTTTTAGTAGACAAGGCTTTATTAGAAGAGATAGAATTGATATAGTAGCGAGCGATAGCAAGGTTATAAGCGATAGTAAGGTTAGAAGAGGTATACAAAACAAGCGCCTAAACAATAGAAAGCGCGTCGACGCGCCGGAGCGGAAGCGTATACAATCTACACCGACCGCCGCTCGCTAAGGTCTACAGAGCCTATTCTTAGTAGGTCGGCGCACGGCCGCTAGTACGGTGTTATATTCAGGTCCTTTTCTTCTGTCTGTACGCCTACGCTACACGTCTTGCAGATCACATTCTTAGCGTCAACGGCTGGCCCATTCCAGGTCCTGTGGGTGGTTTAGTATATAGACACTGTGGGTGGAGCCATAGTGGATGGTCAAGATGCTGTGAAGCCGAGTCGAGTGGACATTACTGCGTGGGCGCCACGGAGTGAAGAGGCGAGCTGAGCTGAGCCCGACAAAACTCAACTCAACTCAAATGTTCAAAGTATGGGGTTTGGGTTCGGGAGGAGGTTCGGACGTGGCCGAGAAGGATTGGAAATTGCGTCTAAGCTGTTTCAAGCAGCGCTAGGGCGATCAAGGTGAGTGCACCAGCTCAGCAGACACGAGACCTCTTTTCCACGCGACTACATCTGCTGTGCTCGTGCAGCCAGATCAATCGTTGCCCAGAGGAGTTCTCCTGGGTCGAGTGACATGCCCAGGCGATCGATAACTCACGCGAGGACGCTGTGTGACCAGACACGGTACGGTGGGAATGTGCTAGTGGTACAGGAGGCAGACTGACCACGTGTCGTCGACCTCTTCCCAAGATGTTTCTCGATGCCGCCCCTGCCTTTTTGACAACTTCTCCTGCCATGCGTGCAGGAGACATCAGTCAACCTTTTGCTGCGATAGTGCAAGCATCTCTCCTGTTGCCGGCCTATCTTCCAATATAACGCGCCCCATCCAGAGTTACCATCGAGCTGTCAAGTCTCTCTTGCCGTTCGGCTGCCACGCTTTGGTATCGTCCCAGCGAGGGAAGACAAACGCGAGTTGATCTGGGGACTCTTCGGGCCAGGTCCTGTTGATCAACTGTAGCAATTCTTCATACAGTACTTTATATCCGGCAGGACTCAGATGTAGACCATCATGAAGGAAGCTCTGCAGGACGTCGTTCTTTGGCATATTAATAGACCCTGTCGGCTCTGGGTCAACAAGACTTCCCCCGGCTCGCGATATGAGAGCGCTCCAAAAATCGATGACATGCACCTGGGTCTCCTCTCCCACTTTCTTCACAGCTTCCGCATACTGTTTCGTCACGCTGGCCCTTCGTCTGATAACATCTGGATAGTTCGGATCATTGGACTTGTCGCTTTCGAGACACTTCCTCTCGTCGACCGGCGGAGGCGTGATCAAAATTCGTCTTATGCCTTCATGCCCTCGCACATCTGGATGATTTACCAAAGCTTTGGTATTACTTGCGAACTCATCAAGAGGAACGTGCTGTTGCGGTCCGCCTGGAGTATCCGGAAGCCTGGAGTCGTTTGCGCCGAAAAAGAACGTCATGAACCGGACTTGTGCACATTGTCTTGAAGGCAGAGCGTGTGGAAGCACTTCGAGTGCTTGTCTTGTGTTATAGCCGCTGAAACCTCTGTTGACGACATCCAGTTGCCGGACGTAGGCGTCGCTCAATTGGGCTCCAAAGCCGAATCCGCGGTCTTGATTGAACGACTGTTGCGTGATGCTGTCGCCGAAAAGCAGAAATTGACCAATTGCTCCCCCGAGCATGTTGTTGCTCGAGGTGCTGGTTGCCGTAGCGGGGGAGTCATTTTGAGAAGACATGGCGGCTTGCGTTCTTTCTACGGGTCGCTTCATGTCGTGCGAGAATGTTACGTGGTTATGGGAGCAAGGAGGCCGATAGAGAATGGATGTTCTTGGGAAGATATATTATGTGCTTGTCGGCGGCTCTGCGTGCCTACGAAGCGCGAGCGAAGTTCCGCCTTGTATCGCCGCCTTGTATACCGCCGCCTTATACGCCGCCGCCTGAACACGCAGCCGTGGTCCCGCCCCGGTCGATTCGATTTTAGCGAGGCACTCTTGTTTAGCCGTAGCGAGGTACTCTTCCAAGGTTGTTCGGTCGACTTGTATCGCGCTTTGTCGCTAGCGCTATCGTTTGTTGTAGTATCTCTCGAAGGAGGCGAGAGGTTGGTTCTTCGGAGGCCGAGTTACACCGCCCTGCTAGTTCGTATAGAATGCAACCAATTAGATCTTTAGCGTTTTTTAAAGACTATAATTTCTATAAAAACTATCCATCCTAACGAAACACATACTACAACATTAAATAAAATATTATTAAAAATACAGCTTAGAATCTAAGTATTTTAATAATATATAGCTATATAAGATTTTGTATAAGATTTATATAGGATTTATATAGGATCTATATAAGATTTATATAAAATTTATTACTAATTTTTATTACTACTATAATTTGTTATAATTTTATCTAAAATTTGGATCCTAAAGTCATTACAAATTCTTTATTAATAGACTTCATTATTTTAAATTAAAAGTCCTAAAGCGATAGGCTTGGTATATATAGTACACAGTCAATCTATTTATTGACCACCTTTTTAGTAATATCGTATTCCGTAATGGAATCTACTGCTAGCATCGCCGCGAGCATGCAGCATCAATCTCCATTATCCTACCCGATCACTTCATCGCATCGACTCCCGTACAAGGTCGAATCCCAAATTCAAAATCCCATTGTGAGTCTCACTTTCCGTACAAACCCCTAGAACTATCCGTTGATGAAACTCCATGTTCATTATGCATTTGGTCGTGGTCACTCTGTTTTCACAGCAGCAGCCCGCCATCATGCAGGACACCACTTAGCGCCATCTTCACCTGATGGATCAGCGTGGGAGAGAGGGAATGCATGATCAAAGAGAGCACTGAGGTTGTCAGGTTGCGTGCTCGGATCTCGACTTAGGAATTTTTAGGAATCCGAACTGATCCACAGAAACATAGGTGTACTTCTCCTCTGTTTTGGACGCGTGACTATGTCTCCCGACTAATGAACAACACCAGCACTCGCCATCTGCTCCACATATTTGACATATCTCGGTCCTTTGCTCCTACGCGGAGTGTTGCCATACTTGACCATGACCAGGAGCGATGCACTCTGAGCCATTCCCACGAATGCTGCCAAAATGAAGGCATTCCGAAGACCCATATTCGTCACCCAAGGAGTGGTTCCGTAATTGACAGCAAACGACATAGTGTTTCGCACGAGGATGACTGTCACAATGGCTTCTGCGCCGAGATCCTTGTAGCTGTCAATGCAATATGAGATCGAGAGCTGGAGGCCGATGACGTTTGTGAGAGCAATGACGCCCATTGCAAATACGCACCCGAACCAGTGGATGTGGTGGGCAGCGCCGACGCCCCATAAGATTAAGGCAAAAGGCAAAAGCAGCGTGTGCGGCAAAAATAACCACAGGCGGTGCTCTGGCTCAAGGATACCTTTGTTTCGCCTCGCGAGTGCAATTAGCACTTTATCACCCACCCAGCCAGTATAAGCACTTGCAATGGCTGTGCCGACCAAAGGAGATACGTAGGTGACGCCAACCATGCTCGGCGAGAAGTTGTAAGGAGAGTTGGCGAGCACGAGTGAGGATGTTGCGTTCAGCACATTGAACCAGCAGAGGTTGGAACCGTACGAGAATCCCGCATAGAAGATAACTGGGAAGGTCATGAATACCAGTGGTCGCCAAGCCATCCCGGCCAAATGGTTCTCTTTCTTAAGATCGACTTTTCGGATAAGCTTGATCTTGTCAAGGTACGACTTCTTCTCAGTTTGGACTGGAAGCTCAATCTCAGGTTCCTCCTGGACTTTTGGACTGTCAGGTGTCTTCTTTTCGTCACTGACTACCGGAGTGGCCGCTTCATTGGGGCTGCCTTGCTCATTCTCGTGGCCGTAGATCACAGCTCGGCTGTAATTGGTCCAGTTGATTTGCGGCCATTCTCAGCCGCGTTATGGAACAAGCTCACCAGGGCTCTCTCTCTACCATCTTTAGGCAAGCAAAACAACACTCTAAAACAGTCATAGTCAGGTATTCTGGACGAAAAGTGGATAAGTAAGTGATTTGTGACTCTCCATTTCTCATGTTCATGCTGCCAAGCCGGCAATGTGAAGCGCTTCCAAAGCAGCGCTTTTACACATTAACTTCACAATAAACGCCGGTAAATTGTAATTGCCCGCCTTCCCCTTGGATATCATCTGGTGGAGAAATTCCTGCCTGCCTCTAGTTCTCACAAAGTCTCGCCGTAATATGCACAAAGAATTCTGGAATCGATGGTCGTCTGCGTCGTGAAATTTTTCGGTTCTGAGGTCTATGATAGGGTGAAAAGAGCCGTTGCGACCATGACTGTCAATGCGAGGACCGTTGATGGTGCTGCTAAGGAGGATGCTCCTGCGGTAAGCGCTTCCGTCGTGAAGACTTGCTGGAAGCCGAGATTTGAGGAGTTGTAGCAGTTTTGTGGCGTGACTTCTTCGACTTGTGGGCTTCCGTTTTCTTCCAGAGTCACGTCCACACACTAATGCTTGTCAGTAGCTGATTTATCCTAAAGTAGCTGATTTATCCTAAAGAAGATTACGGAACACATACACTGTATAGAGCGGCTCCGTGCTGCGCTGTTTCGATCACTTGAATCGTGATGTTCTGGCCAGGCGATAAGGATACGTTGGCCGGCATGCGCACTTGAGGCAAACAGAATTGTCCTGGATACTGGCTGTTGCTTGGTCCTGTCACTTCAAATGGCGGCACGACTGGGTGCGAGTAGTTGGGCGGCGCCATCTGTCCTTCCTCTTGAATACCAATGTTGACATAGAAGAATGCCTTTGAATGTCCTGGGAACCATCCGGGCTGTACTGATAAAGCTCCACCTCCGACAGGCCAGCGAGTTCGGTTGGTTGTCAGTCCCATGCCTCCGCCTGCCATATATTAGACGAGCCATGTCGCCTGCTGATGTCTTGTTCACTTACAAGGATACATCCACTGCATGCCGAATGGATAGCCCCAAGTGCCATTATCGTTGTGATCAATTCCAATTGTCGCAGGATTGAATTGCGGCGCTGTGCCATTCGTGTGCAGGTTATTCCCTCTCCATCCCGGATATGTGATTACGGTATGTGCTCTTGCTAGGCCTGATAGCGCTACTATCGCGATTGTGAACACTGAAGTTATTCCGAACATCGTGGCGCCAATTCGAGGCTTCGTGCCAGCGCGGCGTCCAGCGCGAAGGAGACGCGGATTGGAGTGGTCGTGATCGTCCTGGTCGCGAGTGCGATTATGAAGTTGAAGAATGAAAAGAATCGAGCTCAGATCTTCAACAGAGAGTGCCGAAGACTAGATCTGCGTGGAAAGATGTGAGATACAGCTTACCGAGACTCCCTTTGCATATAGAGGCGACCAGAAGGTGACCTAGCGTCAAGCAGACTCGTGAGAGGCGTGCATAGTTCCGCGAGTCTCCCTGCCACAAGAGTGACTTGGCACGACACTGCGTGTCCACTGGGCTGAGCGCACATGGGGCTGCCCTAGAGATGGGATGGATTCTCGTTGCAGTGGGCGTGATTGGAATAATACACTTCTGGCCCTTGTGGTCGCGCGACGAAGGAAGCAGCCAAGGCGAATGAAGGATTAAGCGCCCAGTGGAAAGCTGTGGAGGTGTGACATGGAGCTTCCTGTTTTCTGGGCACTCTCAGCTCTGACCAATCGCATCACGCAGACAGCACTTCGGCTGATTGTGCATACAGCTGTGGGGTCCCGATCCCGAGGGATTGAGTCGTGTTGCTCTTTGTATATGAAGAACGATGGTCAGAGACATGACATTTTCTCGAGGCTGATCTGTATTCTTGATGACCTTGCGTACGAAGATTATGATACTGGCCACGTCATGATCCCCGAATCTAAGTATAACATGATCATGGAAAGTGATTCAGTGGTATTTGAAATCCCAGCTTCAAAATTCTGGATTTCTGCGAGCGTTACGTACGAGCGCCGGTATGCCAGAGTTGGCGCATATTGATCAGTGATGAGACTGTCTCATCGATCGTATCGCTGTAGGCGACGGCTTCCATCGTGCTAGGAATTGCAACAGGAAGCTCGAGATAGAGGAGTGCGAGGTTGAGATGTTCGTTCATAGGAACTGTCGAGAACTTGTCTTTTGCAGAGGTTTACGCGTCGCGCACAAGACGCTGGACTCCTTTCGGCCACTTTGCAGGGCAGGAACCGTGCTCTCGTAGGGCTCGCAAGTTTCGCTGCAAGCCAATTCGCAGATTTGGATAGCCAAGACGACTCAGCTTTGCCACCAGTGAGCACGCAAGTTAGACGCGTATAAGCAAGCAGGACATGATGTATTTTCAGCGCGGGTTCAGGAATATCAGAGGCACAAGGATTTCAGCTGCATGTGGTCGCAGCTTGAAGAAGTTGCATCACGGTCGGTCACTTTCCCCGTGCTTGCCGACATGCTGCTTGAAGCCCGTTCACCCACCTGTTTTGCGTCATGTGCTGATGTGTGCTGGTGGTTAACAAGGCTCAGCGAAAGCCTGGGCTCCTAGAGGATGACTTGGCGATTTATCCAAATGATCGGGCTAAGAGCCTGTTGGGGAGCGATCTGCTTCTTCTCGTTTTTCAGTGGAAGGTGAGCATGACTTGGCCCAGCTTTGCTTGTCAGTCGTTCATATCGCGAAGGGCCACCATCTAGAGCGCCTTTTGTTGAACGAGTAGAACTCCTGCGGCGCCCATGCTCGAGACTCTCTTTCAGTTATCTATTTGAACCACAGCTCTTCTCGAAGTAAGCCCTCGATCGCAATCCAAGGCAGTACCGGTGTGACAAGTGTACAGCCCAGGTCTTTTGCACAGTCTACTCGGATGTTGTTGACGGCGCGTGCGGTGCGAACGTGTTGCCATTGGCATTAAGCTCGCATGGCGGTGATGGCGAGGTTATCTTGTACGCGTGGAATGCGGCGACTGGCTATGGGCGTGTTCTGCGAGGCTGACCTGTGTGGAAGGAGCTATGATGGCAGTTCAAGTCGAAGCCGATCAGTTGAAGTCCGTGCCAAGAAATCGACAGACCGAGTCTAGACTTCACGTTCCTTCCTCACTCCTGCATCAACCTCACAACCACAGCATAAGACATCACGCAAGATGTCTGAGCAGACGCTCGCCATATCTCCATCCGATTCCGAGCGAATCGCGGTACTTGTGCTTATAAGATCTGCAAATGCGTGGCCTCACCTCTAACCGCCCGTACCCTTACCTGCCTACAATGGCTACCCAAGCGAGGCCAATGAGAACGGACTTCAACCTCATATGGTGTTAACTCAGTCTATATTCGTCATTTGAGATGAGGCACCGGTCTGCTTTGTAGCGCCTCTTTACATTGAAGTCGCGCGCGTGCTGTGTTCAATGAGCAGCAAGACGTGCCGGGCAATGTACGGCAACTATCGATTGCACGATGGTCTTTTCCTAACGGCATTGGCCCTATGTTCGCCCTTCAAGATCCAACGACGAACCGCCAATGGATCTAGGAACAAGTTTGAGACCGTGTGGCACAGTTTGCACTACTGAAACAGCTTACCAGGACCTGACTTGGGAGATACTATGCATCCACGAGCGTCAATGGTTGAGGGCCAGAGCTTATGCATGGAGTTGGTGACGATGCCTCCACCTTACCTTCGGCCAGGCGCTTGAACGACCTAGGTCGCGTGCTCCAGCCTTGATGGCAGGTCTCAAACACACCATAGCGTGACCTCGTACCGGCCAGCATTTCCTTTGTCACATTGCTTCGATGCTGACCTTCTTGATTCTTTTCGACTTTTGCGTTTTGTCTATTGTTCCTACTTTCCTTTCTTGCTTGTGACGACAGCTACGGCAGAATAACGACCGTCGCTTTGCTGGATCACTCTTGGACTTGAGCATCTGCATCAACTTGAAGGAGGTCAACGTATAGCGGCCGCGTTTCGCAGCCTCAGCTTCAGACCCACCCTTCTATTATTGACATCAGTACAACGGGAAAGCTCAGCTCACATCATGCCTATTGCTATCGAGCGAGAGAGGTCGGTCACTCCCATTGAGGACGAGGCCAGCTGCGACGAACACAACGCAGAGTCATTAGCACCATGGGACCAGAATAGAGTGGTCCATATGGTGCAAGTACCTCATCTCGGCTCTAAGGCTCTGGCATCGAATGAACTGGAGACGTTTCTGAAGCCCGATCTAGCAACGGGCCCATACCGATCCAAGAAATCCACTCCTCAGACTGCTCCTGTGTTCGGCCATCCCACCGCAGCCCTGCCATATGAGACACCACTCCACATATCCAACGGGCCAAAAACCGCCTCACAACCCCCAGCATTCATCAAAACACCATCTCCACCTCCGGACACCTTAGCTCGGATCTCCAAGCCACCATCAATAACCCAGACATCTCAAGAGACCACTGGAAGGCCCACCGCACCGAAGATCGGCCTTCAAGGGACCATGGCTCACGGCGAAGAAACATACAAGCGCCGCAAACACTCTGCCAAGCCAAGCCATTCTAGCAGCGAGAATTTTGAGACTAGAGGCTTTGGAAAGCGGTTTAAGTTCGCTATGAAGGATATTTTTAAACGAGAGCCTGCCGAGCATGCGGAATTGGAATGTATTGGTGGTAAGCATTGGACGGAAGAGTGAATAATGGGATGAAGTTCTTAGATATAGTTGTTTGGAGAATGATGGGCTGGATTGTTGTTGTTGTTGTTGGAGAAGAAGAAGAAGCTCTTCAAATGTATGAGCTATGAATTTTGAATGGGCTGAGGCTTGAGTTGTGGCGTCAGATTGGTAGCATGACTTGGCTCGATGTATATATACCATTGCTCTGTTGAAGAATCTTTGTGTCTGCGATTTTCATGACTGAGAGCTGTAGACATGCTTAGGTACTCGCTAGGTTCGTTAGCGTATAGTACGCTCTAGAAGGCGTGTATAGCGCTATTAGGGGCCGAATTAATGTTTCGGTTCGCCTAAGTAGGTGTCCCGAGTTCAGACTTTAATTCTTGTTACTATAAGTCCGTAAGCCCTTCCGCGACCTATAACGGTAGGTAGTTCCTCTAGCGGCTTCGTGTTTGCTTAACCGTTCGGTTATAGTCCCTCGTCCCTTTTTTATAGTATGCTTTAGCTAGGATTAGCGGTAGCTTAACGGTCTAGGCGGATATCTTTCGTAGAGCTACTTACGTAGCGTTAGCTTAGAGCGGTAGCACGCTCTTTATATATAAATACTATATACTGCTTAACTGTAACCCGGTAATACTATATAGTTACCCGTATAGCAGCCTCTGCATATCGCTATTTTATCCGAGCCTAGCGGTCCTGTTTCGCTGCTTTCTTCGCGGCTTTAGCTTCCTTCTTAGAATTTAATGCTACTTCTTGCTTTTAGATTAGGTCGCTATACTTAGATTCTACGAGCCCCGGATCGATTACCCTAAATTGCTATAAGACTTTCGCCTTTAGTAATAATAGGGCTGCCTATTATACTATCGCTAGGTTACTAAGAAGGAGGTTGATATTAGTAATTCGTTTACCGAGGGCTGCCTATATATTGTCTCTATCTTTAGTTAGTCTTAGGCATTCGAGCAGGATATAGGCGGGTGTTTGTCTTTATAGGTCGTATCCTTCGTCGTTAATATAGAGGCCGCAGAATAGGCTGCCTACTGCGCTAATACCGTAGAGGTATTAGTTAAGCGCTATCTTTCTGGTCCTTATCTAGGTAATAATGCTTCCTATCGGGCGGCTAGCCTAGTTGTATCTTTAAAGGACGTCTTTAGTAATTGTTAGTTAGATCCGGTAGACTCCGCGGCCTATAGTGCCTTCTATCTAGTATTGTTGCTACTAGTCTTTTAGAAAGATGTCGATTTAGCCTTTAGCCTATTTGCTATCGTTCGTTAGCGAAGAGTAAATTGCTTTAGCCCGGTCTGCCGCTTCGGTAGCGAGCTTATCTACTAATTCATTGCCTAGTATGCCCGAGTAGCTAGGTATCTATTAAATAGAGATAGGGTATAGTATATAGGGTCGGAGTTTATAGAACTGTTTAATAGCATCCTAAGCGGTGTTAGCGCTAGTGTCGCTAATCCGCTGTGCTAGTCCTCGGTTATCTATATAAATATAGGCTAGCTCGATAAGCCCGTAGTAAATAATTAATTAGAGGGCTAGTAGTAGGCCGTATACTTCTACGTAGAAGGATAAAGAGAAAGTTGCTGTTCCTAGTAGGCGGGATTCGTAGACTCGGCCGTTAAGGGATACTGCTAAGCAGCCTAGCTTGCAGTTGCCCTTCTTGTCTTCCTTAAGTAACCCGTCTATATAAATATAAATGCCCGGTATGCGAGTTGTTTCGTTGTGTATCCTAATAGCCTCCTCGGTGTCCTCTAGCACCTTCGTATTTAGGTATTTACCCTATAGTATATTAACGAAGACCTATTAAATTTGGAGTAGTAGTTAGCTACCTGCTACGAGGTAGGTCTATTTGTAGAATGCTAGTAGTATAATCTACTTACGGCGGGTGTCGGCGTTCGCTCTATTAATTAAGTTTGTACTATATAGGCGGCTAGCTATTTGAATAAATGTCCTAAGGTAGACTAATTAAAGGTATACCTTAGCTAGTTCGATATATAGCTCAGTATAAAGCGCTGCCTATAATATAGTTTTAAAGGCTCTCGCTATTTAGCAGGCGGCTGTATACTAAATAGCGTTAATAAGTTTAGTCGCCTTCTTTGTATCCGCCGTGCCTAGCCGGTACTAGACTAATGCGCCGTATACTAGCAGTAGTCGGATAATCGCTAGGTAGGCTCTACGGACTAAGGTTAGTAAGGCCCCCTACGATAACTTGTTAAGTATAGCGAGTATATTAGTCTTCTTCGCGGCCTTCGTTTTAATGTCTTTTCGGTATACTACGAAGGTAAGCCTCGAGTCTAGGGTAACTCCTAGTATCTTAACTGCCTCTAAGGGTTGAATTGTAGTGCCTTAAAATGTAATAGTAAAAGCAGTCGTACGTGCTGTCTAGTAACGAGAGCTAGGTAGGTAAAAGTAAATTAATTAGAATTTAGCCGGCGCGAATATCGCTACGTATTATACTAACTAACGTTCGCAAATCGTAACTAGTCGTTTTATAGTGTTCTCTACTACCTCTACCGTAGGTCTAGTAACTAGCATTATAATATCGTCGATCTAGGCGACTAATGTATTGTTTTCTACCTAGCTCGTCTGTTCTACTAAGTCTGCGTTAAAGATTATAAAGAGCGGTAGCGAGAGTAGTAAACCTTATAGTATTCTAACGGTAACTTCCGCCTCTAGAGCTATAATATTAGATAGCCGGAGTTTCGTTCTATAGCCGGTAAGAAAGCTCTATATCTATTCGGCTAGTTTACTACTAAGTTGTCTCCTACGTATATTATAGAGTAGTCTTTAATGTAAGACGTAGTTAAATGCGCCGGAGATGTCGAGTGCTAGGGCTAAGGCGTAGCCGCCTTGCTGCTATATATCTGCTATCGGTTTAATAAGGGTATAGAGTGCCTCGTCCGTTATATAGCCTTTTCGTCTGCTAAAGTAGCTAGTCGGTAGGATGCCTTAGGTTTCGAATGCCTAGTATAGTCGTTCGGCGATAATGCTTTCGAGGCATTTACTAATCGTATTAAGTAGTACGATTAGACGGTATCCCTTCGGTATTGCTAGGTCTTTGCCGGGCTTCTAAAGGGCTACTATCGTTAATATTCGGAGCGCTTATAGGTAGTAGCCGACTTAGAGGGATGCATTAAACAATGCCGTAATATATATATAGAAGGGCGTAGGCCCTAAGTCGTCTTTATTATTCTTGCTCTAGTAGCAGGCTCTCGCCGTAGAGTTAGTAGTACTATCCGTACCTATATCTTCGCTACTACTAGCGGTAGTATAGTTACTACTCTCGCTACTCTCGTCGTCTAAGTCTACCTAGTTATCTTCGAATAGTAATAGGTGCATTAATGCCCTTTTAATAATCTCCGCTAGAATGCCGTCTAGTCCTAGGGCCTTCCTAGTAGCTATCTTCCTTACCGCTAGGGCAACCTCGTATAGCGTAATCGGTAGGTATTAAATAGGCTCTAGATACTCAAAATTTAGTGTAATATCGGCTAAGTCGGCCTGTCTCTACGCTAGGAAGAAGGCTAATTTAAGGAGCTTTGCTTTATCGTAGCTAGATGTAATTAAATAACTATTATGTTATATTGTCGGGAAGTAAGAGGTCCGCGGGCACCCCTAGTTAGATTTCTACTTAATTACTCGCTAGAGTCGTAGGAGGTTATTGTCGTAGGCCGCTATATCCTACCTAAATTAGTCTCTCTTCTACGCGCGGAGTTGTCGTTTGTATTCGCCGTATAGTTCTTAGTACCTTTCGTATTCCGGTCCGCTAGTAATCTAATAGCGCCTAAGGCGCCTTTTAAGTTGCCTAGTCTCTCGTCGTAGTATTAAGAATTTAGAGGTCTAGCTAGTCTTTGTTCTACCGGGCTACTCTCTATATAGCGGGCTATTAGTACTGCTTCTTTAATAGCCTAGTAAAGAATCGCTTATAGCCTAATTATATATTTATCGAGTCGTTCGGGGGTATCGAGTTCTTCTATACTCGGTACTTAGAGTTAGCGTAGGTAGGCGGAGAGGGCGTAAATATCGGTTTGTTTCTACTTCCGCCTCGGCTCTTTATATAGCATCGCCGGCAGGCTCGCGAAGGCGAAGGTAGATTTAATTAGTAGGTAGTCGGAGTCCTAGTCGTGTTCGGTGCTAACTAAGAGGCTACGGTATGTAATTGTTAGTAAATAGAATACTAGGTCTAACGTTAATGCCCCGCCGTCCCTTAGATTAATTCGCGTTGTCTGCCCTATAGGTACTACCTATACTAGCCGGCAGTTATTAGCTATTTAGTTTAGTTGCCTGCCTCGGGCGTTGTTTAGTTTATCCGGCATCTATCTTTAATAGTATATATTAAAATCGCCAACTAGGATAGTATATAGCGTAATATATATTACGAGGTACTAGATAACCGTAGAGTCGTTATCGATTAGCGGCTAGTAGGCATTAATTATAGTAAGTGTTTGCTAGCCTAACCGGACTGTGATTTTATAAACGTATTCCTCGGTTAGGTGCGTTATCTATTTACTCGTATCCTATCGTTTAGTAATAAATATAGCTACCCTCGTATCTAGCTTGCCGGCGAAGAGTAACTAGAAGAGACCCTGCTATAGATAGTACGTAAGCATATAGCCCTCGTTTTGCCGATTTAGGTAGGGTTCTTATATAGCTATAATGTCGTATTTGTATATCTAAGGGCTATTAAAGAGAGCTGCTATTCGGTAGAGGCTGCCGGCTACGTTATATTATAGGATATGTAATATTTTAGGCGGCGGTAGGTCTACCGGTCTCGGACGTTATCGTAGCTGTCCGGTTGAAATAGTATATCTTAAGACTCGTCGCTGCTGCTACCGCTAGTTCCCGCCTCGCTCGAACTCGTATCGCTATCATTTATAGCTATAGGGTCCCCCTATACCGGTTAGAGCATCTATTCGTCTTTAGTTAGCACTTTTTGCGGTAATACTTAAATTAGCGCTATAGTTAAGCGGCGAGTAACCCGCTTTAGTTAGTTCTCTTTGTCGCTCTCTAAGTTACGTTTAGAGGCGCGTTTCCGCTTAAGGCTTTTAGCCTTCTTCTTAGCAATTTTAGCGGCTACCTATTAGCCGCTTTGCGTAAGGA